AAAGGAGGGTGCCCCACAATAGAAGCCCCCCCCCTTTCCCCTGGAACCCCCTTTGGCAGCCCCCTCCCCAACCCTTCCTTTACCATGGAGTAGGGGCCCTCTCCCAGGGAGCATCCAGCCTGGGTTTTGGGGGGTCTTTTGGAAGGGAGGTGAAAGTGGGGGGGGGGCTCCCCCTTTCCCCCATTGGAATCCCCCTGATGCCTCTTGGTGACCCCCTCCTTCCCCTTAGAAGGGGACATCCATACTCCCCCCACCATTATCTGCTCCAGGAGAGAGCCCCCCCCCCCACACACACACATGGGAAGGCCCCCCTTTCAGCCCTTCTTTCTTCCCTTCCTTCTTAGCTTGTGTCTTGGAGAAGAGTGCCCCCCCCCCACGAGAGGCTTCTTGGGGAGGGGCTTTGGGAAGGGAGGGCACCCCACAAGAGAAGGCTCCCCTTTCCCGCCCCTCTCCCCATAGTCTTTGAAAGGGGGGTTCTCTTTGAAGGCTCCCCTTTCCCTCTGCCTGTGGGCCCCCCCCCCCCCCCGTGCCTTGGAGTGGAGGCCCTTCTCCCAGGGAGTTCCCAGCCTAGTTTTTGGGGAGGCTGTAGGAAGGGAGGCCGGGAGTGGCACCCCAAGGATAGTGGTCTCCCCTTGGTCTCCCCTCCCAGTGACCCTTCCATTGACCTTAGAGTGCACATCTCCCCCCCCCCCCCCCCCCCCCACCCCAATGAGGCTACTTTGGAGCAGAGTCCCTTTTCCCAGGGAGTTCCCAGCCTAGTTTTTGGGGAGGCTTTAGAAAGGGAGGTCGGGAGAGGCACCCCGAGAATGGTGGTCCCCCCCCCCTTGGGCAGCCCCTGGTGGGCCCTCCACTGACCGTAGAGGATGCCCCCTCTGTCTCCTGAGAGAGATTTGGAGGCAAAGGCCTTTTGGGGAGGCTTTGGGAAGGCGGGCAAAGGAGTGTCGCCCCACAATAGAAGGCTCCCCCTTTCCCTTGGAACCCCCCTTTGGCAGCCCCCCCTTTTCCCTGTGAACCCCCCCCCCTTCCTCCCAGACTTGGCTGGATAGAGTCAGGCCTCCCTCCTGTGCCTTGGAGTGGAGCCCCTTCTCCCCGGGAGCTTCCAGCCTAGTTTTTTTTTGGGGGGGGGGCTTCAGAAAGGGAGGCAGGGAGTGCCTTTCCCCCTCGGGGTGGTTTTCAGAGGGGCTGTGGGGAGGGGCACAGGGAGAGGCCCCGGCCCTTGTGTACCCTGGAGTCGGGTCCTTTCCCAGGGAGCTTCAAACCCTAGTTTTTCGGTAGGCTTTAGAAAGGGAGGCAGGGAGTGTCTTTCCCCCTTGGAGTGGTTTTTAGAGGGGCTGTGGGGAGGGATGTGGGGAGAGGTGCCTTGAACCCTTCCTCCCTGGCTTGGCTGGCTGGCCCCAGCCCTTGTGTACCTTGTGTATCTTTCCCAGGGAGCTTCAACCCTAGTTTTTGGGTAGGCTTTAGAAAGGGAGGCAGGGAGAGGATCCCCGAGGATAGGCGTCTCCCCCTTGGGCAGCCCCCAGGTGGGCCCTCCTGGTGACCCTTCTGTTGACCTTAGAGTGCACCCCTCCCCCCTCCCCAGTGAGGCTCCCTTGGCGTGGAGTCCCTTTTCCCAGGGAGTTCCCAGCCTGGTGTTTGGGGATGCTTTAGAAAGGGAGGCAGGGAGTGGCCCTCTGAGGATACCGATCCCCTCCCCCCTTGGGCAACCCCTGGTGGGCCCTCCTGGTGACCCTTCTGTTGACCTTAGAGTGCACCCCTCCCCCCTCCCCAGTGAGGCTCCCTTGGCGTGGAGTCCCTTTTCCCAGGGAGTTCCCAGCCTGGTGTTTTGGGTGAGGCTTTAGAAAGGGAGGTCGGGAGTGCTGCCCCGAGGATAGCTGTCTCCCCTCTGGGTGGGCCCTCCCTCCTGGTGACCCTTCCGTTGACCTTAGAGCACACCGCTCTCCCTCCCTCCCAAGTGAGGCTACCTTTGAGTAGAGTCCCTTTCCCCAGGGAGCTTCCGGCCTAGTTTTTGGGGAGGCTTCAGAAAGGGAGGCCGAGTGGCACCCCACAATAGTGGTCTTCTAGTGCTGGATAGAATAATGCCTCCCACCCTTTGCCTTGGACTAGAGTCCCTTTTCCAGGGAGCTTCCAGCCTGGTTTTTGGGGAGGCTTTAGAGAGGGAGGCGGGGAGTGTCTTTTCCCCTTGGGGTGGCTTTTGGAGGGGCGTTTTGGGGAGAGGGATGTGGGGAGAGGTGCCTTGAACCCTTCCTCCCTGGCTTGGCTGGCCGGCCCCAGCCCTCTTGTGCCTTGGAGTGGAGACCCTCTCCCCAGGGAGATTTAACCCAGGTTTTTGGGGAGGCTTTAGAAAGGGAGACAGGGAGAGGCATCCCAACAATAGAGGTCTCCCCCTTGGTCAGCCCTGGGTGGGCTCTCCTGGTGACCCTTCCATTGACCTTAGAGTGCACTCCTCCCCCCCCAAGGAGTTTCCAGCCTGGTTTTTGGGAGGCTTTAGAAAGGGAGGCCGGGAGTGGTGCCCCGAAAACAACATAATTGGCTTTCCCTTGGAATCCCCCCTTTCCTTCTGCCTGTGTTACCCCCCCCCCCCCTTCCTCCCAGGCTTGGCTGGATAGAACTACGCCTCTCTCCTTTCCTTGGGAGTTCCCAGCCTGGGTTTTGGGGAGCCTTTAGAAAGGGAGGAAGGGTGGTGCCCTGAGAATGGCGGTCACCGTTGGGCAGCCCCCAGGTGGGCCCTCCCAGTGACCCTTCTGTTGACCTTAGAGCCCCCCCCCCCCCCCCCCCCAACGAGGCTACCTTGGACTAGAGTCCCTTTTCCTGGGGAGTTTCCAGGCTCCTTTTTGGGGAGGCTTTCGAAGGGAGCTTTAGAAATGGAGGCAGGGAGAGGTGTCCCGAGGATAGCTGTCTCCCCTTGGGCAGCCCCCCGGGGGGGGGGAGGCCTCTTGGTGACCCTTCTGTGGACCTTAGAGTGCACCCCTACCCCCTACCCCAGTGAGGCTACCTTGGAGTGGAGTCCCTGAGGAGCTTCAACCCTAGTTTTTGGGGAGGCTTTAGAAAGGGAGGCCGGGAGAGGCGCCCTGACAATAGAGGGCTCCCCCTTTCTCCTGGAACCCCTTTTGGCAGCCCCCCTTCCCTTTGCCCATGGACCCCCTCCCCTTCCTCCCAGGCTTGGCTGTCCCTTTTCCTGGGGAGCTTCCAGGTTCCTTTTTGGGGAGGCTTTAGAAAGGGAGGCTGGGAGAGGTGCCTCGAGGATAGTGGTCTTCCCCTTAGGCATCCTCCCCGGGTGGGTGCTCCTGGTGACCCTTCTGTGGACCTTAGAGTGCACACCCCCCCCCCCCCCCATTGAGGCTCCCTTGGACTAGAGTCCTTTCTCAGGGAGCTTCCAGCTTACTTTTTGGAGAGGCTTTCGAAGGGGAGGACAGGTGCCCTGCCAATGGCGGTCTCCCCCTTGGGCAGCCCTTGGGTGGGCTCTCCAGGTGACCCTTCTGTGGACCTTAGAGTGCACCCCCCATCTCCCCATGAGGCTCCCTTTCCCTGTGAGCTCCCAGGCTCCTTTTGGGGGGGGGGGTCTGTGGGGAGGGGTGGTACCTTGGAGTAGAGTCTCCAGGAGAGCTGGGAGGCCGGGAGAGGTGCCCTGAGGATGGAGGTCTTCCCCTTGGGCATCCCCCGGGGGAGGGGGTCCCTCCTGGTGACCCTTCCGTGGACCTTAGAGTGCACCCCCTCCCCCTTGTGAGGCCCCCTTTCCCTGTGAGCTTCCAGGCTCTTTTTGGGGTGAGGGTGTGTGGGGAGGGGGGAATGGGGGGTACCTTGGAGTAGAGTCCCCAGGAGAGCTCTCTCTTGATGACCAATCTACTTTTTGGGGAGGCTTTAGAAAGGGAGGCCGGGAGAGGCATCCTGAGGATGGAGGTCTTCCCTTTGGGTAGCTCCTGGGTGGGCTCTCCAGGTGACCCTTCTGTTGACCTTAGAGTGCACCCCCCCCCTTGAGGTCCCCTTTCCCTGTGAGCTTCCAGCCTAGTTTTTGGGGAGGCTTTAGAGAGGGAGTGGGGGGCGGCTTTCCCCCTCCCTCGGGGTGGGGTTGTGGGGGGCATACCTTGGAGTGGAGTCAAGAGGGCTCCCCCTTTCCCTGGGAATCCCCCTCCCCAACCCTTCCTTTCCCTTGGAGTAGGGGCCCTTTTCCCCGGGAGCTTCCAGACTCCTTTTGGGGGGGGGGGTCTGTGGGGCTGGGGGCTGGGGTGTACCTTGGAGAACCCCTGGTGGGCCCTCCTGGTGACCCTTCTGTTGTCTCAGAGTCCACCCCCCCCCCCCCCGTGTGGCTACCTTTCAGTTGAGTCCTTTCTCCCAGAGAGCTTCCAGGCTCCTTTTTGGGGAGGCTTTAGAAAGGGAGGCCGGGAGAGGCGCCCTGAGGATAGAGGTCTTCCCCTTGGGTAGCTCCTGGGTGGGCCCTCCTGGTGACCCTCCTGTAGACCCCTCTCCCCCCCCCCCCCAGTGCGGCTCCCTTGGAGTGGAGCCCCTTTTCCCAGGGAGCTTCCAGCCTAGTTTGGGGGGGGGGGGCTTTAGAAAGGGAGGCCGGGAGAGGCGCCCTGAGGATGGAGGTCTTCCCCATGGGCAGCCCCTGGTGACTGTTGACCTTCGAGTGCACCCCTCTCTCCCCCTCCCAGGGAGCTTCCAGCCTGGTTTTTGGGGAGGTTTTAGGGGAGAGGGGCTGTGGGGGGCATACCTTGGAGTAGAATCAATAGAGGGCTCCCCCTTTCCCTGGGAATCCCCCTCCCCAACCCTTCCGTTCCCTTGGACTAGAGTCCCTTTCCTGGGGAGTTTCCAGGCTCCTTTTTGGGGGGGCTTTCGAAGGGGGGGACAGGAGGTGTCCTGCCGATGGTGGTCTCCCCCTTGGGCATTCCCCTGAGGGGGGGGCTCCTGGGGGCCCTTTTGTGGACCTGAGTGCACCCCTCCCCCACCCCTTGAGCCTTCCCTTTCTGTGGGGGGTGGGGGGGCGCCCCCTCCCTCCCTCCTACCTTGGAGTAGAGCCCCCAGGAGAGCTCTGTCTCGATGACCATGACGACGATGCCGAACATGCCGAAGATGAGCGCGTAGTCGCTGAGCCGCTTCCGCTTCTCGAAGAGCGCCCGCCGGTGGCCCAGCCGGTACCCGATGCTGGGGGGCTTCCTCTTGGACGAGGGCGGCGGGGGAGGGCCCTTCACTCCCGAGGAGGAGGAGGAGGGGGGGCCCTTCAGGGCGTTGCCCAGCGGGGAGTGCTGGTGGTGGTTGTCCTCGCGGGAGATCACGATCTCGGGGGGCAAAGGGGGGGGAGGGGGCGCGGAAGGGGGCGCAGAAGCACCCTCATCCCCGGGGGGTGGGTGGGGGGCGGCGGCGTGCTGCTCGTCGAGGAGGTTCCTTCTGGAGGCGGAGAGGCGGCTGAGGGGCTTCATGACGCCCCCCCCTCCGTACTTGCAGGAGCTCATGGCGATCTCCGTGAAGGGGTTGCTGTCCCTCCGGTGCGCCAAGGGGCTGGCCTGGCGGAGCTTCGACGACCCCCCCGGACCGCCCCCGTGCGGAGCCCCCATCACGGAGGACCCCCCGCGCTCCCGCTCCCGGTCCCGGTCCCCCCCGCTGGAGCTGGGCGAGGGGCGCAGGGAGGGCGGGGCAGGGGGGGCAGCGGGGGCGGGGGGCGCCACCACCAAGGAGGACGACGAGGACGAAGCCCCCCCTCCGCCGGCCCCAGGCGCCGCCGGGCCCGAGGGCTCCATCCCGGCCTGGCTCCTCCGGCACGGGCATCCAGGCACGCCGCCCGCCCGCCCGCCTCCCTCCCGCCGGAGCCCCGCCCGCGACACCCACCTGCCCGCCTCCCTCCCTCCCTCTCTCTCTCTTCTCCCACGCCCCGCTGACGTCACCGCCCCGCCCACCCCTCCCTCCCTCTCCCCTCCTCTCTCTCCCTCTCTTTGCAGCAACAGGTGGGAGCACTCCGCCGCCCCCCCTCTCTCTCTCTCTCTCTCTCTCTCTCTCTCTCACCTGTGGACGACACCCTGCCAACACAAGCCCCGCCCCTCTCTTGGGCGCGGCTCCCTCTCTCTCCTCCCCCCCTCCCCCAGGAAAGGGAAATTGGGGGGGGGGGAGGACAAATTGATAGAATGATAGGTAGAAGCAGAGATAGACGGATGGATAGATAGATAGGTAGGTAGATAGGTAAGTAAATAAGATAGATACATGGATAGGTAGAAGCAGACACAGAGAGAGAGAGAGAGATGCATAGATAGATGGATGGATGGATGGATGGATGGATGAGCAGAAGCAGACATTGAAAGATAGACAGATGGATAGAAGGATAGGTAGAAGCAGAGATACATACAGAGATAGGTAGGTAGGCCAATAGATAGGTAGATGGGTAGGTAGATCAATAGATAGATAGATAGATAGATAGATAGATAGATAGACAGACAGACAGACAGATAGGTAGAAGCAGAAATAGGTAGGTAGGTAGATAGATAGAGGATATATAGATGGGTAGACAGAGAGATTGATAGAATGATAGGTAGAAGCAGAGATAGACAGATGGATAGAAAAATAGATAGAAAGATGGGTAAGTAAATAAGATAGATACATGGATAGTAGAAGCAGACATAGATAGATAGATAGATAGATAGATAGACAGACAGACAGATGGATAGATAGAAGCAGACACTGAAAGACAGATGGATAGATAGATAGATAGATAGATGGATAGAAGGATAGGGAGAAGCAGAGATATATAGCTAGACAGACAGATAGGTAGGTAGGTGGATAGATAGGTAGATGGATAGGTAGAAGCAGAGATAGATAGATAAATAGATAGATAGATTGATAGATCGATAGATGAGAGATTAGATAGACAGATGCATGGATGAATGGATGGACAGATAGAAAAACAGATAGACAGAGCAGGCCTGGACCAACTTGGCCCCTCCCTCCCACCGGATGTTTTGGAAATGGGGGGGGGGGGGAGAGAGACAGAAAGGAGAGAAAGAGATGGATGGATGGATATATAGATAAGATCAATAGATGGAGGAATAAAGAGGTACAAGCAGAGAGAGGTAGGTAGGTAGGTACATAGAAGACAATCATCCTCGGAAATCCCCCAGGAAAGGGAAATTGGGGGGGGGGGGGAGGCAGAGAGAGAGAGGAGAGAAAGAGATGGAAGGATAGATAGATAGAGGATAGATAGATGGATAGACAGACAAATGGATAGAATGATAGGTAGAAGCAGAGATAGATAGATAGATAGACAGGTGGATAGATAGATGGGTAAGTAGATAACATAGATAGATAGATAGATAGAAGAAGCAGACATTGAAAGATTGATGGATACATAGATGGATAGAAGGATAGGTAGAAGCAGAGATACATACAGAGATAGATAGCTAGGTCGATAGATAGATAGACAGACAGGTAGATAGGTAGGTAGGTAGGTACATAGAAGACAATCATCCTTGGAAAGCGAGGGATCGCCTATGTAAGTAAGGTACATAGACAGACAGACAGACAGACAGACAGACAGACAGATAGATAGATAGATAGATAGACAGACAGATAGGTAGATGGGTAGACAGAGAGATGGATAGAATGATAGATAGGTGGGTAAGTAGATAAGATAGATAGACAGATACATGGATAGGTAGAAGCAGACATAGATAGATAGATAGATAGATAGATAGATAGATAGGTAGATAGGTAGGTAGGTAGGTAGGCAGAAGCAGACATTGAAAGATAGACAGATGGATACATAGATGGATAGAAGGATAGGTAGAAGCAGAGATACATACAGAGATAGGTAGATGGGTAGGTAGGTAGATAAGATAGACAGATGGATTGACAGATAGATCAATAGATGAGAGAATAGACAGATGCATGGATGAATGGATGGACAGACAGACAGTAAAACAGACAGACCGAGCAGGTAGATAAGATAGATAGATAGATAGATAGATAGATAGATAGATAGATAGATAGATAGATGCATAGATGGATAGATGGATAGATGCATAGAGGATATATAGATGGGTAGACAGACAGATGGATAGAATGACAGGTAGAAGCAGAGATAGATAGAAAGAAAGAAAGAAAGAAAGAAAGAAAGATAGATAGATAGGTAAGTAAGTAAATAAGATAGACAGATACATGGATAGGTAGAAGCAGACATAGATAGATAGATAGATAGATAGATAGATAGATAGATAGATAGATAGATAGATAGGTAGACAGGTAGACAGGTAGACAGGTAGACAGGTAGACAGGTAGACAGGTAGACAGGTAGACAGGTAGATGGATAGGTAGAAGCAGAGATAGATAAATGGATAGATTGATACATGAGAGAATAGATAGACAGGTGCATGGATGAATGGATGGACAGACAGACAGTAAAACAGATAGACTGAGCAGGCCTGGACCAACTTGGGCCCTCCTTCCCTCCCTCCAGGTGTTTTGGATTCCAACTCCCACCATTCCTCACCACCTATTGGGATAGATAAGATAAATTGATGGAGGAATAGACAGAGAGGTACAAGCAGAGAGAGAGAGAGGTAGGTAGGTAGATAGAGGATAGATAGATGGATAGACAGGCAGGTGGATAGAAGGATAGGTAGAAGCAGAGATAGACAGACAGATGGGTAAGTAGATAAAATAGATAGATAGACAGACAGATGGATAGATAGATAGGTAGAAGCAGAGATAGATAGACAAATAAAGGGAGGGATAGAAGCAGAGATAGATAGATAGATAGATAGATAGATAGATAGATAGATAGATAGATGGATGGATGGATGGATGGATGGATGGATGGATGGATGGATGGATCAATGGATCAATGGATCAATGGATCAATGGATGGATGGATGGATGGGTAGAAGCCGACATTGATAGACAGATGGATAGACAGATTGATAAATGGATGGACAGAATGATAGGTAGAAGCAAAGATACACAGATAGATGTATAAACAGACAGACAGAGCAGGCCTGGGCCAACCTGGGCCTTCCCTCCCTCCAGGTGTTTTGGACTCCAACTCCCACCATTCCTCACCACCTATAGGAGAGAATGAGAAAGATCACTGAAGCAATAGAAGGATAGGGAGAAGCACAGACTGATAAAGAGATGGAGAGATGGAAGCAGAGAAGGATGGATGGAGGGAGACAGAGAGACAGAGGGATATATCAGCCATTCATTTATCCATTCTTCCATCCCTGGATCAGCCATCCATTTCTCTATATATCCAAACCTACCCATCCATCTAACTATATATTCATCTATCTATCTATCTATCTATCTATCTATCTATCTATCTATCCATCCATCCATCCATCCATCCATCCATCCATCCATCCATCCGGCTAACCTATCCATCCATTCATCCATTAATGTACCCAGCTTTCTCCATATCCATCTATGCATTACCCCTCCACCTACCCAACCATTCATTTCTCTACATGTCCATTCATGTATCCAGCTATCCATCCATCTCCCTACATATCCTCCTATCCATCCATTTCTCCATTCAGTTTTCCATCCATCCATCCATCCATCCACCCATCTACCCATCTACCCATCCATGTATCCATCCATCTATCCATTCATCCATGCATGCATCTATCCATCCATCCATCCATGTATCCATCCATCCATCCATCCATCCATCCATGTATCCCTTCATCCATGCACCTATCCATCCATCCATTCATCTATCCACCCATCCACCCATGTATCCCTTCATCCGTGCATCCATCCATCCATCCATTCATCTATCCATGCATCTATCCATCCATGTATCCATCCTATCCTATCCTATCCTATCCTATCCTATCCTATCCTATCCTATCCTATCCTATCTATCTATCTATCTATCTATCTATCTATCTATCTATCTATCTGCCTATCTATTATCATCCATTAACTTATCCAACTATCTATCAATCCATCTATCCAACCATCCATTCAACAATTATCTATTCAACTTTCCATTTATCCATCTATATGTCCGTCCTCTCTCTCTCTTTCAGTTCATTTATCAAGCTATCTATATATCAACCTGCCCATCCATCTACCCAACCATCAAATTCTCCATCCATCCATCCATCTATCTCTCCATCCACATCTCCCTCTCTCCCCTCCAACCCACCCGTGTCCCCGTCCATCTCTCCACCCAACTGGGCCTTCCTGTCCCTTCCCATTTTCCCAGAGGCTTTTGGGCTCTCCTGGGTGGATGTCAACCTGCGGCAAACTGAGATCAAATAAGAATAAGAATACTAGTGATCACAATGCAGAGCGGAGGCCCCTGTTGCCAGGCCCAGAGGCCTGCTGGGGGGGTCCTCCTCCTCCTCCTCCTCCTCCTCCGGCCATGAATCAAGGAGGATGAATCAGGGGAAGTGGGTCCCCCCCCCTTCTTGCATTTGCAGCCTCTCCCCCCATTTTTTTATTCTCTCTCTTTTCTTTGCAAGTCTCTCCCCGCTTGCTTGCTTGCTTTCTTTCCTCGCTTTGCTCACAGGTTCGCCTGCCGCCTCCAAAGGTGGATGCCGGCAGCCGGGGTTGCCATGGCGACCGCATCCAGGTACCACTCAGCAGAGAGAGAGAGAGAGAGAGGGAAAGGGACTGGCTTGCACGCATTCCCTGGGAAAGCAAAGCAAAGCAAAGCAAAGCAAAGCAAAGCAAAGCAAAGCAAGGCTGGGTGGATGGATGGAGGGATGGAGGGGGGGCAGCCAGGGATGGACTGGCCTCCAAGGGG